CCCAAGTGGCCGTCATCGCGGGCGGGTGGCGTTGCGCCCGGGTGCGGCTTCTTTGCAGGCGGCAGCGCGGCCGAAAGGTGCGGGGCGCTGCTTGCGGGAGCGGCCTGGGTGGGCGACGCCGTCGTACGGCTCTCGCCGTCCTAGGCTACTGCTCTCGGAATCTGGACTCTCCGCCTGAGGTCTCCCTCAGCCTGCACCCCAACCTCTGTTGGACGCCCTCGCCGTCTCCGCCCGAGGTCTCCGCCCAGCGCCCGCGACCCCATTGCGCCCACCACTCCTGCTACCGGCCCGACGTCCCGGGCTCGCCGGTGGGTGCCGTCGCTGCGCGGCTTTGTCTGCGGACCCAGTGGCCCGGCGACTGGGTTTTCTGCCTCTCAGGGTCGGCCCCTGTTCCTCCACCGGGCCACACCTCAGAGCTCGCTGCCCGCACCGCCGCCCGCCGAGAGTCTGTCTACAGGTCCCCGACCCTCTCGCTGGGCACCTCCGTCTCTCCAGGTTTTCCGTCCTTGTCTCTGTCACTCTTGCTGTCTCCGTCTCCTTAGGGATGTCTCTCGTTGCTCGGTGTCTCACCCTGTGTCTCTGTCTCTCTGTCTCACGGGTTTTCTCGTTGAGTCTGTTACTATGAACCTCTGATCCCGTCTCTTTCGTTACCCAGCATTGGTCTTTCATCTATTTACTATCTACCATCTTTATAACATCTGTCGGTCACCGATCATCATCTGTCCATCATCTATCTGACCTATCATTTATCTATCATCTATCTATATACTTTATCATCTATCAGTATCTCTCTACCAACCAACCATCTAGGAATCTCTCCCAATGTCTCTAGCTCGGCATTCCTATCTCCTTCGCCCAGAATCCTTTCTCCGTTGAGCAGCATCGGCTGGGGTCTCTCTAGACTTGTTTCTGCCTCATGTCTCTGTCAGGCCCCCAGACCACTCCAGTTGCGCGCCCCACTTCACCCTGATTGCCTAGCATTCGTCTTCCCTGCCCCCGAACCTATCTGATTTTCTCAGAATCGGGGTTTTGTTTTCAGACAAACGAATCAGAATGGAAACGCATCGAATCCGAGAGTCCCGGATCGGGTGCGGCAGGGGCGGTGTGGAAGCAGCATTGAGTGCGGCGGGTGGCTGAGTTGCGACGCGGGGACGCGGCTCGAAAACCCCCGCACCAGACCGGTGCTGTGGGCCGTACCGGGCGCACAGACCAGGGCAGCCCCAGGCCAGTTGCCGTCGACCGGTACTGATCCACTCCTCCTTCCACAGGCGGACGCCGCGGGCATGGACTATTCGTATGACGAGGACCTGGACGAGCTGTGTCCGGTGTGTGGTGACAAGGTGTCGGGCTACCACTACGGGCTGCTCACGTGTGAGAGCTGCAAGGTGAGCGCTAGCAGGGAAGGGTTAGGCTGCAGGTAGCAGGGGTGCGGACGGTGACTGAGGGTCGGGACCTGGCGTTCACTCCCTTCCTCTTGCACAGGGCTTCTTCAAGCGCACAGTCCAGAACAACAAGCATTACACGTGCACCGAGAGTCAGAGCTGCAAAATCGACAAGACGCAGCGTAAGCGCTGTCCCTTCTGCCGCTTCCAGAAGTGTCTGACGGTGGGCATGCGCCTGGAAGGTGCGCGTTCTGCACACCCGGTACCCTTGACTGCTGACCGCCCCAAGGAGTCGCGGGCGGGCCTGGGAGAGGGGCTGAAGGGAAAGCGGCGTAGTTTCTGAATCCAGGTGACTGGTCCCTTGGTGAGACGTTAGGGCCCCAGCTCTGCGGGGAAGGCAAGCGCCAGAAGAGGCCTGGCAGGCAGAACCTGCCTGGGCTCAGTTCCGAATATCAAAAGCGAGACTTCCCGCATGGTGGGCCATGCCTGCCATCCCAGGAATGAGGAGTCTGAGGCCCGGTGATTACCAGTAAAGGACTGCATACTGAGACCCAGCACTCCCTCCTCCTTCCTCACTAGGGAGTGAGCCTTTCTCCAGGACAGAGTAGAGCCCCAACAGACCCACTTTGTGAGGGGCCACCCTATATATCCCCACACTAGCCAGAGTCGAAGGTCTCAATAACTTGAATGTTCAAATTCCAGCTTATTCAATTGTAGGCTGAAGACACTGAGCAAATACCTTAACCTCTCTGAGCTGCAGATGCCCTTATCTGAATAATGAGCTAAAAAGTAATGTAATGCCTGTCCTGTGCCGGCGGGAAGACTGGGGGTTTACAAAAAGCTGGAATTGCCTGCTGTGAGGGCAAATACTCAGCAGGATAGCTGTAATTGTCGTTATTATCACACTCTCTGCTGCTATTTGTTCATCACTCGCCACCCTGTGCATCTGTCTGTCTATCTGTCCAGGCATCTAAGTTTCGCAGGAATTGAGATTCCTTCCCATGCATTCTTCGTGCAGTTCTGAGAAGGTTGGGGAGGGGAGAGGGACAGTGGCCTATCCTGGTCTCTTTCCTACCCCTGTTCGCTATCTCTGTTCCAGAGAGGACAGCAATGGTCCATCAGGAGAGACTCAGGCTCAGAGAGTGGACAGTCATAGCTTCTACCCCGCTGGCCCCAGTCGGGCTGAGCGCCCAGAGAGCAGCTGTTGGCTAAAGTTTTTGCAGGCTCCAAAGGCTGGGAGAGCTGTGGGACCTAGGGAAGGACTCAGATTGAAGGAGGGACCCTGTCCTGTTCCTGGAGCCATCACGCCTACCTCCAGGTCCTGAGTGGGCAGAGAGCTAGCCATCATGGGTGGCAGAAGCCTCTGGGGCAGCCTGAGGGAGCAAAGCAGAATGGCCACCTCCCTGCAGGAAGGTCTGTGTCGGGCAGGCTCCCAAGCCCTGAGTTCTGTGAAATACCACCCCTCTCTCCCTTCCCTCAGAGCTTGGGTGGGGTCCTGTCTGAGCAGGGGTTGGAGCCACACTCAAGCTGCAGAGATGCACCTGTTAAGTCTGGCTGGTGACACATTCTTGGCCAGAATAAAAACATCTGGTCAGCAAAATAGGTCCCTTTCTCCAACACTAAACTAGGCTCCACAGTAGAAGGCAGCGGGGGAAGCCCCATCATCTTGTACCAGGAGCTAGATAGAACTAAGGAGGCTCCAGCAAGCAGTTGAGCACCCGCTGAGAGCAAAGCAGACTAGGGCCCCCTTTCCTCACATTTCCCTGCCAGGCCCTAGGCTGGGCCCATGAACCCAGAGCTGAGCCCCAGGTGCTCTCAGCCTCAAGTATACTATGGAACAGGACAGGAGGTTCTGTCTGGAGGAATTCTTGGACTTCGTGGAGGTGACAACCTGGCCACTGGGTTATGCTATAAGAAAGAAGATGTGGGAGTCAGAAAGGGGTTCCAGGCAAAGGGAACCAATAATTGAGGGCAAGGTGGGCGAGAAAGTGTGTTAAGTGGAGAAACAAAGGAGTAGGGAGGAGGGAAGAAAGATAAGGTCACTAGAAGGTGGAGAAAGGCCTGGAATGCCAAGCTAAGGTTATACCTGTGGGCACAGGAGGCCATTGAGTGGAGGTGAAGAATGACGTGTCTGTGTGTGTGTGTGTGTGTGTGTGTGTGTGTGTGTGTGTGTGTGACAGAGACACAGATATATCCTTTCGGGAAAGATCTGTGAGAAGTAGTTGGGAAGGTGGAAGTTGACTGACTGCTCTTGCTCACAGCTGTGCGTGCTGATCGAATGAGGGGCGGTCGGAACAAGTTTGGGCCCATGTACAAGAGGGACCGGGCCTTGAAGCAGCAGAAGAAAGCACAGATTCGGGCCAATGGCTTCAAGCTGGAGACTGGACCCCCGATGGGGGTGCCCCCGCCGCCCCCTCCCCCTCCGGACTACATGCTACCCCCTGGCCTGCATGCCCCTGAGCCCAAGGCCTTGGTCTCTGGCCCACCCACTGGGCCACTGAGTGATTTTGGAGCCCCAGCTCTGCCCATGGGTGTGCCTGGTACCCATGGGCCTCTGGCTGGCTACCTCTATCCTGCCTTCTCTAACCGCACCATCAAGTCTGAGTATCCAGAGCCCTATGCCAGCCCCACTCAGCAGCCAGGGCCACCCTACAGCTATCCAGAGCCCTTCTCAGGAGGGCCCAATGTACCAGAGCTCATACTGCAGCTGCTGCAGCTGGAGCCAGAGGAGGACCAGGTGCGTGCCCGCATAGTGGGCTGCCTGCAGGAGCCAGCCAAAAGTCGCTCTGACCAGCCAGCGCACTTCAGCCTCCTCTGCAGGATGGCTGACCAGACCTTCATCTCCATTGTCGACTGGGCACGAAGGTGCATGGTGTTCAAGGAGCTGGAGGTAGGTGCTCCCCACAGACCCCTGGCCTTGGCTCCAGCCACTCCCCTCGGCTGCCCAGCATTACCCTCTGGATGGGCAGTCCTACCCAATGGCTTCAGGCCATTCTGGAGAGGTATTACCACAGGAGCCATTGCAGCTTCCTGGTGCTCACCGCCCCCCTGCCCATCGCTCTCCCTGTCTCTCCTATGTCCCCTCTGTGACTTGAGGTCTTTCCGTACCTCCATGTTCCTCCAGCCTTTGCTTCTCTCCCAGTTCAGGTTCCTACAGGAGACCCTGAGCTCCCTCAAATCGCCAACCTATGTCAGAAGTAGGTCCAGCCATCCTATCCTCTCGTTCATTCAGAAAGCACACCGATCCCCACCATCCTCAACTGTCATAAATGAGGCTCTAAGTCTATGACTTTGGGTGTTTGTGGGCCTGATTCCTACCTAGCTGAAGTGAAGGAACTCACTGTCCCTGTGATAAAGTAGGCGTGTGCACACGCATGTGTGTGATGCACAAATGTGCAAATGCAGAACAACTAGATGGAAAATACATTCTTTGAACTGCCTTTTTTTAAAAACTATAGTTAGTGCACATGACACTAAGGAAAGTGGAAACATAGCAGGAGGAACAGAGGCTAGACATAGGAGGAACTTCACAGGCATTTCATCTGTTCTCGTGAAGACCCTAAAGCCTGAGAGCTGACGCTCCTTACATTCACCACCTCTGAGACTCCAGAATCTTGACCAAGCCTCATTGTTGCTGGCATGGGTACAACTCAAGCCTGACCCTCTTAGGTCAAGCCCCCCTGGTTGTTCTGAGGCTAGCTATAAACAGCAGGGCCACTGCCCTCCCTGCTGGAGCCACTGCAGCCTTGAGCGACCGTCAATGCTGACGCCACTCTGCCTGGGCTTCCTCTGGGCACGTGGCCAGATGGACAGGGCACTGCCTGGCTGGCTGGCATGGAGGGGAGTAAGATGCAGCATGAGCATTCTGAGCCCTATAGGGGCACCCCAAGGTTTATTTAACCCGGAGGACCCTGGGAGTTAGGAACTGATGACCATGGCTCTCATTTCTACTGCAGAGGGCCTGCCATGGCCAAGGACATGCCATGTCCCTGTCTTGGGTGGCTTCTCTCACTGGTTCTTCTAGGCCAACTGGTGTAGGAGATGAACACAGGTCAGATAATGGGTCCTCCCACCTGTCCTCTATTCATGGCGAAGTGCTCTGGAAGATGACACCCCCGCCCCTAGACACTGCAGACATCCCCTGCACACAGAGAAAGAGGAGCTGAGCACTCCCAGCTTTCCAGGACTCTGGATTCAGGGGCAGGGCACTTCCTCTGGCTGCCTTCCTGGTGTAGGGGGTCCAGGTCACGCAGGATGGGAAGGGCTTTTGTCCCAGCATTGCTGAGTGTTTTTTCCTGCTTTTGGCTTCTCTGTGGCCGAAATCTTCCTGCTTCCCCTTCCCAGAACCTGTGGAGGAGCCCAGGAATCCTAGCCACCGTCAGCACTGTTTGTAAGGGGCCTTACAGAGAAAAAAACCCAAACCCAGCCCTTGCAGCCCCTCTTGAACCATGATTCCCCAGGCTGCCGGGTCTGTGTTGCAGAACCCAGGCATGCAGGTCAGAAAAGCCAAGGACGCCCAGTGAGCTGCTCCTTGCCATGGCACATCAGTCACTGTCTATCTCCAGGCAGGATACACCTTAGGGAATGGGAGAGGAACTCTGTGGCTCTGAGCCTGGGTGACTCCTGGAATGGGCACCAGAGACAGTAGAATGAACTGGACCCAGGGAGCTAGAGGAGATGTGTGGACTGTCAATGAACAGATCCTTGGGTTCTGGAGAAACAGAGCACTCCGTGGGAAAGTGCTGCTGCATCTGAGGGCGTCAAAGATTTCCAAAGATGGTCAGAGACAGGTCAGGGCACCCAGCCTGTGGGACTTAACAAGTATGTCTGCTCTTTTGGCCCGTTTTCTTGTTTGTAAGGCAGGAAGGGCTTTATTCTCTAGAGGCTTGTAAAGGCTGGGTAATCTAGAACAGATAAAGAATGTGACATGTGACTTGGTACACAGGAAGTCCCACCAGTGGAGTTGGTCTGCCCCTTTGTAGCATGAAGGGTACAGACTTTGGCCCTGGTGGTATATCAACGTCTTACCTGAAGCATGGTATACTTGCCTTCACCAGTACTCTGCATGGTCACCATGAAGGGCAGACTGGAGGAAGGGAGGCAGCTCATCTTGACATCTGTTCCCCTCAGTGTTAACGCTGCTTCCCCCCAGGGGGCCCCATTGGCAGCAGATAATTGCTCAGATAGACGGTTTATTGAGACACAGTAAGTCTGTCAGTACTGGGCTGATAAACAATTGCTCAGCCAGGAGTGTGCCATGGCCAGCCATGGCATGTCAGACCCTGAAGAATTACTGAGTTTGTTGGCCTTGCCTGCCAGACTGATCAGACCCCAGGGGCTCCAGAGAGGCTGCTGAGGGAGAGGTCAGTGCAATGCCATCAATACCCTTCCTGGAGGCAGACTGCAGTGTCAAGGCTCCAAGATTTGTGGTGGGCCATAGGAGGGCCCAACAGACGGGCTGGGCTGGCCAGGGACCCCAAACCAGAACTGCAGATGACCTTGTTCCCAAGGTGGCAATAGGAAGTGGAAACTAGATCTTTGGCTTGAGAGACACTCTCACACACTAATTTCTTGTGGAGAAGGCTGACAGTTGCTGTGTGTGTTGAAGTTGGCTGTCCATGTGTTCATCTCCACACCCACAGGAAGAGATGGGCATAGGCATGGCAGCAAAATTTGTTTGGCCAAGGAGAAGATGGAGCCCAGCATGTTCTTCAGAACCTTTGGGGCTGATACACATCTTCACTATGCAGAAGAGGGAGGTGCCCTCTCCCGTCACAGATCAGGAAATGAGGGTTGAGGGAAGTGAACAGCCAGGCGAAGGGCTAAAATTCAGATTTGGAGTGCTCAGCATAGTGCCCACATCGCAGCCCAGGGCTGACCAGCCTCCACATGCTGGGCAACCCAGCCCCAGGCCTGAGCTGGGTACCCAGGTCACTGTGACCCCTCTGCCTTCTGCCAAGGCTCAGTCTGCTTATCTCTCGACGCTCCTCCTTATCACTTCTCCTGCCCCGCTTCTGCCTTCCATCTGGGCACAAGGGTATCTGCTCCTATGGTGAGATGGGGGTGGAGCATCCCAGCCCTGCCTGGACTCCTTCTGGGTCACCCACATGGGCCTCTGTTTTCTTTGCTGCCATCCAGACACCCAGCAGTTCTCAGGGTCTCCCAGGATCTTCCAAGATCTCCCTACCTGGGCCTAAGGAGTCTGCATGACTGTCGGGCTGCTCTTTCTTTTTGACCCTCTCTTAGGGTTACTATTGCTGTGATAAAACACCATGACCAAAAACAATTTAGAGATGAAAGGGTTTATTTGCTAACATATTCTGATTCACAGTTCACTGAGGGAAGCCAAATTAGGAACTCAAACTGGATAGGAACCTGGAGGCAGGAGCTGATGTGGAGGACATGGAGGGGAGCTGCTTACTGGCTTGCTCATCATGGCTTGTTCAGTCCATTTTCTTAAAGAACCCAGGACCACCAGCTTACAATGGTGGTGGGTTCCCCCCACATCAATTACTAATTAAGAAAATTCCCTACGAGCCTGCCTAGAGTCCAGTCTTACGGAGGCGGTTCCCTACTTGAGGCTCCCTCCTCTCAGATGACTGTGTCAAGGTGAACTAGCCAGCACATCTGCCTTTTCCTTTCTCCCCGTCTGCCCGAGGACAGGGCTAGTTCTTATGTCTAGTCATCTCTCTGGTTTGAGGTAGAGATGAACGTTTTAGGGATCATGTGCACCTTCAACCTCTCACTGATGCCTGAGGGGCCAGCAGTGATATGGAGGACACCAGTTCTGCCTTTGCACACTCCCAAGTACCAGGGAAGACAGGCATGGATTGCTGCCGTCCCAGTTCCAGAAGGTAGTGAGAAAGAGTGGTTGAGAAGGGCTTCATGGAACCAGTCTACAGGAGACCCTGAAGCCCTGGGTGGACAGGGCGGCCAGGGAAAGTTGTAGAGAGAGTGGACCTGGAACCACACTCAACTGTGCAACCTTAGGTAACCTGGCTAAGTTCAGTGCTCAGTTCCTACTCTCTGTAAAATGAGTGATGACTGCAAACAGGGCTGACAAGTCACCCAGCAAAGACTGCTTGTGCTCAAGGTTAGAAGTCACTGTAATGCGTGGTCCAGGAGGGCTGGGAAACCCACATGGTAGAAGAAGAGAACCAAATCCACAAGGTGTCTTCTGATTTCCGCATGTACACTGTGGTACACACACACACACATACACATACTCTCACACACGCACACACACACACACACACATACTCTCACACATGCACACACACACACGCACACATACTCTCACACACACACACACATACTCTCACACATGCACACACACACGCACACACACACACGCACACATACTCTCACACACGCACACACATACTCTCACACACGCACACACACACACACACACACACACACACGTAAATGTAAAAGGATTATTTTAAAAAGAAAGGCTTTGGGCTGGGTGGGAGTGAGGATGGGGAGGTAAGGGTAGGTAGGGAGGTTGTGTATGGGGGGTAAGAGGATGATGACATGTCCCTGGCTGCCACTTTCCATGGGAGGATACAGCGACCCCCAGAGTTGGGGGACACGCAACAGGAGCTGTCCTCTTCGGGGCCCCAAGGCTCAATACACCCCGATGATTAGGATCCACCTTGGTCATTGTTCGGTTATTGCTGCAGACTGCTGAGGTGGCCATGAGCCAGGCAGCCTTTCTTTCTTCCCCAGCAGCCTAGACACCTCTGCAGCTTCCCCAGGGTCCTTTTCAGGGTAGCTGTGGCCACAGGTCCTCCACAGGCCAATACACAGGGGACAAGGGCTGGTCTTTGCAGCATTAGACCTTAATCTCTGAGGTTTACTGGGTGTGTGATATGGGACTGGTCATCTCCACACACTTGGATCACTGAACAATTGAGAAAACGAAGGCCCAGAAAGGCCCTGGAATATATGTAAAGTCACACAGCTTGTGAGAGACAGAGTTGGGACCTGAAAGACGCCCTCCTTGGACCCCAATAAAGTAATCAGGTGGGCAGCTGGGGCCCATCTAAGACTCGGGAGAAGGGCCTGACGGCCAGTCCCCAGCTGGACCTCTGCGTGGCTCTTCCCTGCAGGTGGCTGACCAGATGACATTGCTGCAGAACTGCTGGAGTGAGCTGCTGGTGTTGGACCACATCTACCGCCAGGTCCAGTACGGCAAGGAGGACAGCATCCTGCTGGTCACTGGGCAGGAGGTGACTGAACTGTTCCAATCCCCAGTCCTGTATGGTCCCAGACCTATCCAAGCTGGCTCTACACACCCTGAATTCCAAATTTGGAGACATACACTGGCCAGACCTCTCTGTGTTCTGGAACCTTTGAGGATCCAGAGTGTAGGATGGCCAGGGGAGACCCTTGTAGGAGATCACAGTGGGATTGGATTTCCCCGAAATAAGGCAGAGTCGGTTAGCTGGTGCCGAGGGGATGGGTGGGAGTCTACACTCCCACATGTAGAAGAAATAGGATCAAGGACTCTGAGAAGGGTTCCGAGTACTGCCAGGGGCCTGTGGGGTGGGAAGTGTGAGGGATGGGGTTGCCTGGTGAGCAGGCAAGACCCTGTAGGCTCTCCATTCTCATAAATGATGAACACGTGAGCAAACAAACACATGAATGAATGAAAGAGAGGGTGAAAGGCCGAGAGATCAGAGTCAGAATTTGGCACCTTTTGGATAGAAAATATTCCATGGCAGGGGTGGGAAGGCACAGAGAAGGCTTGTGAATTTCTGAGCCCCCAGAGGAGCGACATTGGGGCTGCCGGTGGATGTAGGTGAAGGAGCCCAAAGTGCTGGGTCTGGAGACACCTTTAAAGAAGACAGCCCACAAATGGGAGAGGAGACATAGGGAGTGTGTGGGAGAAAGAAGACTGGAGACAGGAGAGGGGACACAGGCTGAATAGTGGGTGCAGTGGATGTTGTAATGAAATGCAGACTGGGCCTACTTCCCTACTTCTGCCCCTCAGGACCTGTGTCCTCAACCTGGTTTCTCACCGCCCAGGTCTCAGGCCTTTGGAGCAGGAATGGGAACACTAGTCTCCAGCGGTGACTCTGGGTGACAGGAATGCATATCTGGGATATGAGTGAGGACGCATGGGCTGTAGGAATGTCCTGAGTGTACCCACACACCTATGTCTGATTGTGTGACTCTGCACATACAGAGATGCGTGGGGATCCATAACTTCCTGCCACCGTGTAAGTATGAGTACATGTGCAGATGTGTCCGCATTGTTGTGAATGGCCATTGAAGGGCAGGAGTGGGTGTAGGTGTGCAGACATGAGTACCATAACTTCAGCGAGCAGGTAACAGCCCTATGAATATACGGTCATGAGTGTGTGTGTGTGTATGTGTGTGTGTGTGTGAGTGTGGAGAGAGAGAGAGAGAGAGAGAGAGAGAGAGAGAGAGAGAGAACGCTAGGTGGTGATAGACTGGGACCTATATGGTGATCACTCAGGTAGAACCACCCTGCTGCCCCCTCCCCTGCCCCAGGGAAGGGCACTTGTCACGGTTAGCTGTACAAGAACAGCTCACACAACTGGGCTGGCGGCAGCCCTTTGTGAATGAAGTATCCTTCAGCTCTCCAGTGTTCCTGCTGCCTGGTGCCTGCTCCACTGCCGCTAAAGGTGCTCAGCTTAGGCCAACAGGTAGAACAAAGCTGGCAAAATGGCCTTCAGCATGGTAGGCCTGAGGCTCAGTGCTTAACCCAAGTCCCTGATCAGAGCCTTCTGCCCCATGCCCTTTCACCCTCCGCCCCCCTCCCTGACCCACCTCTGCCGGTGCAGGTGGAGCTGAGCACAGTGGCGGTGCAGGCTGGCTCCCTGCTTCACAGCCTGGTGCTGCGGGCACAGGAGTTAGTGCTACAGCTGCATGCACTGCAATTGGACCGTCAGGAGTTCGTCTGTCTCAAGTTCCTCATCCTCTTCAGCCTCGGTGAGTGACCTCTGCAGCAGAGGGTGGCAAAGACACTGGGGACCACTGTGTTCAGAAAGCCCAAGGGATAAGGCTTCTCCTTCAGTGAGTGACAGAAGGTGCACAGCAAGGGCCTGGCTGCTCCCTGTGGGGCAGGGAGCTTAGTTTCTCAGTGTGAAGTTCCAAGGGCTGAGATATTGTCTAGCGTTTGTCTTTCATGGGGTGAGGACCCTTCTGCTCCGTGTACCCAGGACACTTAAATGTCTGCTGCATTTAGGACTCTCTTGCCTGGCTCCCATCCTGGGGTCCCTACTTTCCCTAACTCTGAGAACTACTGGGTCCCTTTCACCTGCGCATTCATTCATTCTACAGACACCTGCTGAACATCTGCCTGGTGCCAGGGGCTGGGAATGGGAAAGGCCCCCAACTGCTGCTCTCAGAGCCAGCTCCTGTTAGGGAAACAGCAAGTGCCTTATGAAAGGTGGAATGCATAGCAGTGAGATCTAACAACTAGGAGGGCATGCCTCAGAGAACCTGAGTCCTGCTGCAGGAAGCCTGGAAAAGCTTAGCGGGTGATTTGGGAAGAGGGTTCTTCAGCAGGGACCAGCTATGGGATCAGAACTGGACAGCTATGAGATCAGAACTGGAGACATGTCTTTGTGGCAGTTTGGCAATGATGCTCCTGGGGAGTAGAAAGTGTTTGGAAGTAGAGGGTAGAAGGGAACTTGTAAGAAAGCCCAGTGTTTGGGTAGAGTTGGGTTACTTGTCATGACCATGTGGCTAGGGACAGAGGGCAAGGACTCTCCACCTGACAAGTGCTTTACACTGTGTTAAAAAATGACTGTCATGAAGCTCCCACCTTGGAGTGTAGCAGAGCATTAGGGGCTCTGACCAGGCTTGGGAGGGTGCTGGGCAGAGAGGAGCTATCAGTACCAGTCAGAGCTTTATCCATGCATACTGCTCCCTTAAGAGGGACCTGCCTTCCCCTTTCCCGTACAACCAAAGGTACTAGGTCCAGTGTGACTTTGGCTTTCTTTGAGGTGACTTCAGGCTCCTCTTCCCAGCCCTGTAAGCTTCTCAGCCCTCCCCCACAAGCTAACTTTACCTCTTGTAATCTAGAGAGATCAGGGCTACAGTGGGGAGGGCAGGAAAAGCCTGTAGAAGTGCTTGGCTGCCAGAATTCTAATTCTGGTCTCTTTGGCTTTGTGCAATTGAGCAAGTCATTTGCTCTCTGAGCCTCTGTTTCCCCTGTGTGAAATGACAGCTGTAAGTGTTCTTGACATGCTGTAAGGATAATGAGACAATTCTACTACAGTCGTGGCCCTTGGAAGTGTGTGCTGATGGTCTTATTAATCATCCTTATTAAGTCCATAAACAAATGAGCCAGAGAGCAAAGTGAACGAACAAACCAGGCTACGGGCTCAGTTTTTATCACATGGTTTGTGTCTGGCTCAGGCTTTCTTGTCTCTGGGCACAGGGACTCAGGTCTGGTCATGGTGGCTGAGTTTAGTGGGTCTGAAGTTGGGTGAGGATGGGGGTGTTGAGGCACAGGAGGCGGTGATCCTGGAACCTCAACTTCCTGAAGTCTAGAATGAGTGTGACAGAGGCACACTGGATCACAGGGTCCTTGGGAAGAGATTCCATGTTGGGAGGGGTGAGCAGGTCCAATATGAGCAGAGTTAGGGCAACTCTACTTGATCTGGATGCAGGATGAGGTCGATTAATCTGAGCTGAACCTTGCAGTGTGAATAGGAGTGTCCTGGTAAAACAAACAGAAGGATCAATCTATTGGAAGTTATGGGTAGAGGAAAGGGTAGCGATGAGGCCAAGGTTATTGCGTGACCTTCCTCTGGGATGGCTCCCATTCTGGGAATAACACAACCACCTCACATCTGCATATCACCATATAAGGTGGGGTACTTCTAGCAGAAGCCTGGGATCAGATGGTAGGCGAATAGCCCAGAGCCTTGCAGCAGGCAGCACCTGTACCTGGGTGATGGTGTATGACCCTCTGGATCTTAAACACAGTACTCCTCATCAGAGCTGAGTTTTCAAGGAGACTGGGACTCAAAGCAGGGCTGAACACTCGACCGCAGACTTCCAGTCGGCCTGCTTGTGGAACCCTCAGCATCGCTGCACTGGGTTGGGCAGCCTGAACCTCAGGCAGTGACTGTTACCCACTCACCCACCCCGTCCCCCTCTACATGCCTCCTTCTCGCCTGTCTCTGCAGAAGGGTGCCATTTGGCGTCTAAATAGCATCTCGGGTAGCTCAGAGGCAGGTAAGGAGGCTTAATTAAAATTAGTGCCTCTCTCCTGGCAATCGCAGTGTTTATGAAGATGGGCCCGGCCGGCATTGTTCCGCCGAGGACTTAATCGAAGCTTAATGGATTGACCTAACATTCGATTTCCTGATTCCCATTGAGGCGCACGGCAGCATTCCCTTAAGCGTTTGCAATTTACCCACTGCTCCAAGCCAACAAAAGACGGACTGAATAGCACTGCCACTCGAGGGGCCATTGTGTGCGGGGGCGCCTGCCTGAGTCACTGCTATTGGGACAACATTCTTTATGCCTTGCTGGAATGAAAGGATTATTCAAATATTCAATTAAACCGTGAAAAGGGGGCTTTTCTGAGATCCTGGGGGGCTCCAGCTCATGGAGCTAGCGGCTACTCCCAGGGTGGGCTGCCATCTCCCACTCACCTCCGCCTCCAGGGACGTAGTCTGCAGGCTCAAGCCCCAGGCTGGAACTCAGTGAGGATCCTGGTCCTGACCTGCCCCATCTTATAGAAGGTAGAAACTGAGGTTCGGAAGGGGCCTCTGGCTGCAGAGCTGAGCCTCCAGGTTGTGGGACTGCTGTTCCTGGGTCTGAGGGGCAAAGGTACCACACTCAGTGGAATGTGACTATATTCCATCTCTCCGTGACAAGCTGGGAACTGGGGGTATGGGAAGTGGTTTCTTGGTGAGGGAGAAGTTAGGTCTAAGGTCATGGAGGTCTTAATTTGTGGGAACTGAGAGACCAGAAGCCCACTGGGAGAGAGGCTGTCCCTGAAAGCTGTCCTTGTTCTGCACCCTCCCTCTTCTCCTCCACTGCCATCCTGAGTCCCTAATGCTTGTTGCTGGGAACAGTAAATCCTGGTAAAGCCAAGAAGGCCTCGGCCCTGGTGTTCCCATCCCTTCCTACCTCGCCATCTGAGCAGAATCCTGGCCCATCCTCCTCCTCCTCAGCTCTTCCCTCTGGTTATCTTTGAGATAGATCCCATCTTTCTCCTATTATGACTGCCAATCAGACTAGTGATGACAGGTGGTCCAGGGCTAGGATTGGGGTGAGAAAGGGGTTGAGGCAAAGGCATACGGGATCAGTAGGCATCTCTTGCTTCGATCAGCTTGGTGGAACGACTTTCTATGATCACCTGTAAGTGTACTGAAGCTGGCCAGGCTGGGGAGCAGGTTGCTATGTCGAGTTGGGTAGGTCTCACTGTACAGGGGCATGGAGGCGGGAGGGGCAGGGTTCAGACCTAGGTGCAGCTCTCCAAAGGGAGCTTTTTCCTGAAGTGCATGAGGATGGCTCATGACCTTGTGGCTTTTCTAGGGAAAGGAAGAAAATGACTGACCCTGGCTCACGTATTGGAGGGTGATGGGAGCCAGGGTGGAGGTCAGCTGCCAAATACTGCCATACGACTCAGGCCCAGCTCCGGTTTCCCTAAATCCATCTTTGGACAACACAGGCCCCAGCGGGTATGCTGGGGGCGGCTGAGGATCAGGGTTGCCAGGCACCTCAGCTTTCCTGGCGCAGTGGGTGTTAAGAGGGATTAGAGGGCCAGGCATGTTGGCCCAACTCCCCCACAGTAGAAAGACTGGGGGTGCCCCAAGGGAGCAAAGCAGATGAGTGACCCATCTTCTGACATCTGGGAAGCCAGGGTAGGCTCTGAGGGTTAAACATCTAGGCAGGGCATGAGCTAATAGAGTCTGGGAGCCGTGACAGGGGCTTGAGTGACAAGGAAAAAGTCCCAAGCACCCCATTTCCAGCCCCCTTCTCTGAAGAAGGTGACCCCTCTGCAGAATAGGCAGGCACTATTTCACAGGGCGGTTACTCCTAACCGACTCCAAAGACCTCTTTTGTGTCTAGCGCAGGACTAAGGCCCAAGTATGCATGGATCACACCAGCCCCAGCCACATTTGGTGCACCGAGCCACCTGCTCCTCTCCCTCTCACAGTGGCTGGCCCTCCATGTCTCACCATGGCTTCAGGGTCTCCATTGTTCTCACAGAGCACGTCTGTGTGGGGAGGGCTGGTGAGCTAGCCAGCCTGCCCACATCCCCCTTCTTCCAGTTTTTGATAGCACAGAGGAGAGAACCAGGGCTGCATGTGCCAGGTCATGGTCTGCTCTAAGCCCCGCGTCAGCGTCATTTTAAACTTACATAAATGGCTTTGCCTTGCGAACTTCTGTTGTCTTCCACCTCCCACTCTACTCTGCCTTTCAACATGGCTCTATGTGCTCCACATCTGTCCATTCTACAGCTCCGCAGATGTAACCAGCACACAGCCACCCATGCCCCTCTTTCTCATCGTGAACAGTGCTGCAAAGAAGCTGACCCCAGAGCCCCAGGACTGAATTTGTGGAGCCTCTGCAGGGCTTGTGCAGAGTACTCGTGGGCCTGACACCAGGACAGGTCCTGTTGACAGTGATGTTGATAGTGATGCCTGGGACCCGCGGTGAGGGCCACAGGAAGGCTTTGATGTGCTTTCTCACGAGTCAGTGCCTTATGTCTTTGGAGGGGCCAGTGCATCCCATTTTATAGGAGAGAAAATGGAGAGCAATGCACCTGCTGATGATCTTGGTGACTGTCAGCTATCCATGGTGACAACAGTGATGATGGGGCTAGTGCTACGATTTAGTGGTTGGTGATGGCCATACTGGTCATAAAATGGGTTTTCTAGGGTGGTGGTACACTCCTTTAATTCACTTGGGAGGCAGGGGAAAATAATTGGATCTCTGTGAGTTCAAGGCCAGCCTGGTCTACATAGTGAGTTCCAGGCCAGTTAAGGAGATAGTGAAAGAAAGAAAGAGAAGGAAAAAAATCACAAGGACAAACCTGGGGGCACTAATCAAAGTGACATCAGTGGTGGTGTGGTGGCCATGGGGTGGAATAGGGAGGTTGCCATTGAGAGGCTCATGGCAGTCTCTACACTGATGGGTTTGGTATCCCCTGGGACCGTGGTGTTGGTAATACTGGTGTCAGTGTCAGCTCAATTGTGGTAAAGGCCTAGTGACCAGAGGGTGATGGACTGCTCTTGTTGCAGATGTGAAATTCCTGAACAACCACAGCCTGGTGAAGGATGCCCAGGAGAAAGCCAATGCCGCCCTGCTGGATTACACCTTGTGTCACTACCCGCACTGCGGGGACAAATTCCAGCAGTTACTATTGTGCCTGGTGGAGGTGAGGGCACTGAGCATGCAGGCCAAGGAGTATCTGTACCACAAGCATTTGGGCAACGAGATGCCCCGCAACAACCTTCTCATTGAGATGCTGCAGGCCAAGCAGACTTGAGCCTGGGCACCTGGCGGCAGGCAGTAGGTAGGGATACCACTGCCTCCAAATGACTCATTGCGTTAGATCATCCAGGAGCCCTGTCCCTAGGCCCCTGCCCTTGAGCTCCAGAGCTGTGTGTTTGGGATGGCGGGCAAAGATGGGCAGGGTCTGCCTGGGGAAGGTTGCCCTCACCAGCCACTGGCACATATCTGCCGCTTAGAGTGCCCCCAAGAGGTGGCTTCCAACTACTCCTTCCTCCACCTGCCCCTAGCTTCTTTCCTGGAATCTGAGGTACAGGTCCGGGGAGGAGGTTTGGGATTCCCTGGTGGACCTTGATGCCCCTTGGGTCAGAGGTCATCCTTTCCCTCTCTCCTGTAATGGAAGCAGGGGAAGGTCTACAGGCATCAATGAGGGCAGGGGAGGGGGTCTCCAGACTTCCTCCGAAGAAAAGAAGGAAGTCCACTGCTGTAAACTGAGTCTGCTAAATTGGGTAGGGCCTGATTTCCCTAGAGGACACCGGGAGCCTGGGGAGGGCAAAAAGACCCCTCTCCGGCCCTCCACCTGTCTAACTCTGATCCATTCCCCGAGAAAAGGCTTTGCTGTAACCATCTTCCCAGCCGCGACCTAGGTGGGTGGAGTCTGGTGGAGTCAACAGTCTTGCCCTGGCCCCGCCCAGTCACTACCGGCTGGGCTGGTATTTACCTGTGAGGCTGCAGTCACCAAGATTCTTTGGTATTTGCTTTTCCTTCCCCGCTGGACAGTCCTTGGAAGCTGTGTGAGAGAGAAACAGCGGGAGACAGACTGAGGACTGAGCTGGGATACGGGGATTACCACCACAGTTCCCCTGGTATCTCTTTCCAAGAGTCCAGGAGGCACCCGCTCATCTTTGTGTACTCCCCGCCCAACTCCAGAGAGGAACTGTAGCTTGCCCTCTACCTTCTCCACTAGGACAACAGCAGGAGACCTAGAGTCCCTGCAGGCGGGGATACGGGGACCTAGGAGGACTCAGGAGTCTTAAGATGGGGACAGTGCCGAGGAGTCTCTCATGACTCCATCCTTTTGGATCCCTTACCACAACTCTTGAAGCTGGCCTCAGTTCTCTGGTCTCTACATCCTGAAAGTCATTCTGCAGGGCCAGGCACTGAGGGGAGAGGCCTAAGCCGTCCTCTGTTCCAGACTGGGGTTCCCTTGCCCTTCCTGCTTTCATGTCATACTTACAGCTTATGCTAGCCCGCTCAGTTGGACAAGGCTGTCTCCTGCCTTCCACCATCCTGACTCAGATACCACCTCTGCCCCTGAAATGTGTGTCCCTGCCAAGGCCAAGACCCACTACCCTGAAACAAGAAGTGCCCTTACAAGCCCAGCACCCCTGAAGCCCTGAAATAAATTTTGCAATTAGTTTCCAGTAGCATTTGTGAATTTGCATTCTGAAGCAAGATGTCGTACCTGGGTTGGCTCTGGGTGGTGACGACGATCTGCCTGCCATCAAAATGGTGTTCAGCTCAGACTTCTGGGGTTGGGAGCCATTGAAATGACTCAGAAGGTAAACATGCTTAGCAGGCCAAATGGCCTGAGTCCTGGAATCCCCATGGAAAAGGAGGGAACTGACTCCCATAAGTTGTCCTCTGGCCTGTATTTTATGTTATGTATGTCGACACCGTGTGCATGTGCACATAGACACACACACCACACACACACAGGAACAAAGACTTGCCCAAGATGAAGCCAGTCAATGGTCCAACATGGATGGGGATGAATTCATGAACTCTCCATTTCTGGCTCAGGAGTTATTGGCTGTCAATGGTTTCTTGTAGGAGAGTCAGATTCTTTAGGGATGTGACCTCTGGGAGGCTATCCATACTCCGGTGCTCTTTTGAGGGCCCTGCATCCATGCGCATACAGGCTTTACTAAATGAACTCACTGGGTTATAAAAATTAAGGAAGACAAAGCTGGGAGGGAAATGTGGAGGGAGTTCTAGGGAGTTGGGCAGTGTTAGGTGGATATGATCTAAATATGTTGAATAATATATGCATACACACATACTATATGCATTGAAAATATTTTTTAAAGATGAGGTGGAAGATAGGTTGGAGAGCCCAGGGTGTAGAGAGAGCAGGCACTGCTGGGATTTAGATCCCTCTGTGTACCTAGGACCCCAGCATGCAAAAAAGGCTTGGAAAATGCTGTGACTTTCTGGAGTCTCATCTCAGCTCCACCCTGCCACGCCAGTTCTAACCCCGTATTGAAAGGGTATTCACTCCATGAACGCCTCGCATATGCCCTCCCTCAGCTCCCTGTCCTTGCAGTGACTCCAGCAGGGGTGGAGAGCTCTTCTCCAACAGTGTGGGGAACCAGATTCCAACCTTCTCTGCCCTGTCCCCCACCCCACTTGCTGATGAGTCCTCTCCCTCCCATCCCACTAGGTGGCAGCAGTGAGCTAGGACAACACCTGCATCTCTTGCTCCAGCACCTCAGTTCCTTGGTCCACCAGAGTCTCTGAAACAACCATGAAAAGGTACCTCCTCTAGAGTGAGGTGGCAGAAAAGATGCTGCTCTCCTGCTTTGTGCCTGCACCAGGGCAATGACCAGGCTGAAAGAAGACCAGATTATATGATGCGATCCCTTGTGTAATTGAGCAGAGATAAGAAAGTCATGAGTTTGATCACATGAGAAGGCTTCGTAGCTGAGGGGTCATTCAAATTGGGTTTTGAAGGATGCCTAGGAATTCAGCAGCTTGATAGAAACAAGGGCAGTCCAGGCAGAAAGAGCAATGTGACTATAAAAGGAAGAGGGAGATGCCAACTGACTCTGCTTGCCTGGAGCAGAGAGGGTGCAGGGAGAAAGAGAGGGGCAGGATAAGGCACTAGAAAGAACCCCTTAGTCCTGTCTCCTGCTCCCCAAACCTTTATGACTGGGGCAGGGGCCTTCTGAGAGGGAAGGAGTTCAGAGTGCATGGGAATGCAGATGGTTTTGTGCCACCTTGGACCCAGTCCCTTCTACCTCCTTGCATGCTCCTTCCCCTCCCCTGAGCCACAGGCAGTGGGTTCTGCCAGGGCTAAGCATGCATTCTGCTGATATTTAGCAGGGCCCCTGCTGCAGGAGAAGTGGCCACTAGCCCAGCCTTTCATCCTCCTGGGCTTCTGCCTGTCTTCCCAGGTGAATGGCGGGGGCTCTGCTGTGTTCTCGCTTGTGAATCTCTGGCCTTCCACCCAGAGCCTTCAACGCCTTGAACACAGCTTTCTCTGTGTTGACAGCCCTGCATGTCTCTGGTCACAGCTGACATTCCCTGGGCATGTCAGGGACATGGGCTTGCAGGGTGGATGTCATGCCCAAAACTAGCACAGGACGGTATCACAGGTCTTCTGAGAGAGCCTGCTGCTCCCCATTCTGCAAATGACAGACAACGCTCAAGATCCTCACATCCTAGGTCCCCAGAAAGAAATGCCTGGACACCTGGCCTTTAGTCGGTGAGCCAATGATCCCCAGAAGTTGTGTCCCAGGAGCAACCCACATAGGATTCAGAGAGGAAGCCACCAAGGCCCCTGGCATTGTCTGTGCCTCACTGAGACTTGAGAGTTTCTCACTCACCCCTCCCTCTCACTTGCTTCATGCACACCTCCGCCCAGCTCTGTCGCCCCAGGGAGACAGGCTGGATGTTGTTGGCAACCTTTTTCCCCAACCCCAGGCCTGATGTTAAGCCCAACACATCTCTGCTTCCCCTGGCCCTGAAGCCCATCTATTCTCAGAGATGAAGACCTGGCTGATGACTTCACAGTGGTGGTTACCCTGGACTGCTCCTTATTGACTTCCAGGCAGGTTCCTCCTCAGCGAGACAGCTATTCACCATCCCCAAGAGAACCCCAGCTATCTGTGAGCAGTGCTGCCTGGCACCTCCAGGAAACACTGCCTAGGTGTTTGGGGTCCACACCCACTGCCCATGCCCGCAGGGAGGCCCGAAGCCTGTGTTGCAGACAGGATGAAGGTGGTCTCTAGGCAGAGTGAGTAAATTCAGCACCAGGTCAGGGACAGGGCAGATGCTGAGCTGGTCAACTGCTGGGCAGAGAAGGTGACTCAGGCTAAACAACTTGGGCTCTATGCTCAGGGCCTGAATGGCGGAAGGGGAGAAGTGACTTGTGTTAGCTGTCCCCTGACTTACACACACACACACACACACACACACACACACACACACACACACACACACACAGAGGCATATAGTAAATAAATGATTTTTAAAGTGCTAACTAGAACTGACAACCCTGCTGACAAGCAAAAGCAGCAGCTTCTCTGTCTTCCCTTCTTCCCAGACAGCCCTGTGCCTCTACCCCTCCCACTTCAGAAGGACTCCCGGACAACACAGGCAGAAAACATCAACACCTAGTTTATTACCAGACATTGCAGAGGGCATGGGGAAATGGAAGAAACCAGAAAGACAGAAGTACCAGACAAGCTGGACTGAAGCTGCTCTCTCACTTGGAACTGCCAGTTGTACACTTCATTCAATTTGGAGTTTCTATGAGGTCCTCTGGCTATTGAGCTCACCAAAGGCTGGGTTGAAAACCCTACTCATGCCCGTTAGACTCCTGTAAGAAAAGTGACCCTTTTTTTTTGGGCAGGACTGGCAGGGATGGCCAAGATTAGACAGAGTTTGAGAACAGAGGCGTGGGGGAGACCTTGCCACCGGGCCTGCCTCTCATGGTCTCCCTGAGACTCAGTTTCAACCCTGTTAGAACACCTGTGTGTCCCCAGCGTCCCCAGAGCTTTTGGAAAGGACACACAGCCAGCAACTCCCTTCCCAACCCCCCCCAACCCCCCCCCACCTCACCCCACCCCCACTCCCCGTTCGTCGCACCTTTCCAGGCCGCCTGAGTGCCTGGTTAGGAGGAGCTGGGGGAGAGAAGCGGGGATCATCAGACTAGGGTTGGGGTCCAGAGGGTGGGGCCGAGGTGGAAAGGACTCCGTTGCTACGAGAAGCCTTAGCAACGCACCCATTCAGCAGAGACAAAGGCGCTGTCATTTGAGCACAGAGGCGCTGCAGTGGCTCTTGTTCTCGTAGACGGCTGTGCCAGTGGGTGGGGGCTGGGTGGAGGGGGGCTGGGTGGTGGGTGCCCGCGGCTGCGTGCTCTAATCCCGCCTAGCCCTGCGCGCCCCACCATCAGCCTGCAGGGGGCGCTCGGTCACTTTTAGCTTACCAGAAGCGAACTGGCCAAGGCCGCCTCAAGCCTAGGTCTGTGACTACACCCCTGTGACAAGCCCTTTCTGTGCTATTGAGCTTGGTTCCTGCTGCACCACTGGCTGCTTACTTGCAGCTCCCTTGAACACCGTGGGCTCTTCCCCTGGCTACTAGACTAGAGCAAGCAGGGGCCTGGGGTTGGACACTGAGCTAGCCTCAGCAAGAGTTCCGAAAGCAGGCTGTAGTGTAGTGTAGGGTAGTGTAGTGTGAGGACCCTGCCTTGTCCCCTCACCACTGTACCACCCTTTATCTGGGTCCTAGGCAGCCTCTACTTTCTGGATGTCACCTTCAATGGGACTTTTTTCTGCTGTCTCCCCAGCACCTAACATGGTGGGTGACTTGACTGTGACATGAACAGATGAGTAGGGGTTGGCTCCCCGCTCAAGGAGACTGAAATCCAGATACAGGCAGGCAGAGGTGGCCTTTACTCTTAACACTCGGAGGCAGAGGCAGGAAAGTGGGTCTCTGTGAGTTCAATGCCAGCCTGGTCTACATCATGAGTTCCAGGACAGCCAGAGCCACACAGAGAAGCCCTGCCTCAGAAAACAAGGAGCCCAGATACAGCAGGATGTAGGACCCATCTTATTTCCTCCTTTGCAACCTTGGGCAAGTAACTGACTGTACAAGGCCTCAGTGTCTCTCTTTTTTTTTTTTTTGTTTTTGTTTGTTTGTTTTGGTTTTGGTTTGGTTTGGCTTGGTTTTTCGAGACAGGGTTTCTCTGTAGCTTTGGAGCCTGTCCTGGAACTAGCTCTTGTAGACCAGGCTGGCCTTCAACTCACAGAGATCTGCCTGCCTCTGCCTCCCGAGTGCTGGGATTTAAGGCATGCACCGCCGCCACCACCACCCGGCTTGTTTGCTTGTTTTTGAGCTTAATCTGTGAGAGCTGGGCCAGAGAAATCTCAGGCGCAAAAGCAGGACTTACTTCCTCAGACCTCATCTCCAAGGACACCTTGCTGCTCTGAGGACACAGGGCCCTAGACAGAGTTTGCCCTTGATTTTGGGAGCAAGCCTTTGTTCAGTCTTGCCCTGATCTGTTCTTCTTTTTGACCCTGAATGGGAGTGAGGGTAGGGAGATCTGGCATGGACAAAGGGGACAGTTCCCCATGGGATAAGGCAGCAGTGGTAGGGGCCACTCCTTGGGGCTCTCATCCTCTTACCACCTAGCCCCCAAGCTGGCACCATCTGTCCCAGTCTGGGTCCCTAACAATCTGTAAATCCTTTGATAGGGACACTCAGTTTCTCTGCCACCAAGCCATGATGGCTTCACTGTATGACTTAAGTATCAGTCTCCTGACTGAACGCTCCCTAAACCTTTGTCTTCACAGATTAGGTGGCCTGAGACAACCCAGTAGTGACCTTGGGTCACCTAGAGAGAGAGCCTCCTGGTGATCCTTGAAGGGGTCTAGATACCATGACCTTTGACTTCCCTCTTGGTAGGACTCAGCCTCCTCAGCTGTCCAATGAACCAAAAGTCCTCTCTCATGTCCTACTTGTGGACGTGAGGACACCACTTGCCATGTCTTTTTTTTTTTTTTTAGCATGCTCCACTTTGCTGTAGAATGTTTTCTGTGATTGAGGCTTAACCCCTGTTTAGTTCTGGCAAACCACACACCCAGTGAACCAGAGCTCCACCTTCCTACATGGCCAAGGTCTAGAAATACAGCAACATAGGTCCAGGCTGGGTTCAGGTATACCAGGAGGCCAACCAGTCAGGTCAGGCCCAGGACAGGTAACAGAGCCAGCACCAGCTTTATCAGAGCCCTGTGGGAAAAGGAGGCAGATCTGAGAGGCCAGTATGCTCCCTCAGGTCTGATGGATGAAGCAGCAGCCAGGAAGAGGGCCTGCAGCTGTCAGCTGGAAGAACATTCTGCAAAACCCTTGGATAGACCTTACTTCCTTCTTAGTAGGGGTGGTGGTACTGAGAGATGAGATTTCACCCCAAGCCTAGTTTGCAAAAATGAGAGCAACTGCCTAGAACTGGGCAGAGATATGGGCCATATGAGCCAGGAAGGCTCTGCACCCCTTCTCCAGGAGCCTGGGCTTCCTGTCTTCTCAGGGAATTGCTGGCTTGAGTGGCCATACTGTCTGGGGATGGGGCAAGTGAAGAAGGGCATGGAAGAGGTCACCCCATCGTGCTCCAGCAGCCATGGGGAGTGGGAAGGGCTCTTGGTAGAGCTGGAGGCTTGGATCTTTCCTGACCCTAAGCTGGGGATGGCCTGACTTGGGGAGTCCTCCTGTCTTGTCTCAAGCAAACTTGCAGCACCTTCTGCAGACAGTGAGGCCCCAGGACAGTGGCTGGGATGCACAGTGCCCAAGCATAAGAGCCATCTAAGTAAGGACACACATGTACTCCTCTGCTTCAGAAGGTCTCACTCACACTCGGCCACACATCCCAACACAGACTCACCATGCTTTTACTCAGCCAGGCTCATGTGGGGTGTCAGCTGACCTTGCACTCCAGTCTCATCCTGTCCCCCTGCTGGGACTCACCACATCTGGAACCTGATCTTCTCCTGCAGACCAGGCTGTGGACTCAGCATGCATGCACAACAGTGGGTGCTGGACAGTGACCATCACCATGTGGACCAGGATGCAGGTGTTGGCCTGGAGGTTGGGTGCCAGTGGGCAAGAGAAATCCCTTCTTCCTGATATGTCCCTCCCTTGTGGCACCCACACCTCAGAGTTCACCATCCGCACAAACAACATGGGCCCCACAAAGTCCCAGATGGCATCTGTGTGAGCACTGAGCCAGCAGTGTCCAGAAGTCATGTAGTTATGGGGTTGCACTGTTAGGGTAATGGCCACAATGGCCGCAGGAAAGCCTAGGGAAGGAGAAAATGGCCTCAGGCCACAGCACCACCCATTTCTCTCAAGAATCCAGCCCACAATTGTCCCCTGGTATCCCAGGGTCAATCTGAGAACCATGGTCGAGTGGGGGGGGGGGAGTTTGAAGCCTGCTAATATTGGTTGCAAAACGAGAGTCAAGACTGGCCTGAAGGGCTGGAGAGATGGCTCAGTGGTTAAGAGCATTGCCTGCTCTTCCAAAGGTCCTGAGTTCAATTCCCGGCAACCACATGGTGGCTCACAACCATCTGTAATGAGGTCTGGTGCCCTCTTCTGGCCTGCAGGCATGCATACACACAGACAGAATATTGTATGCATAATAAAAAAAAAAAAAAAAGACTGGCCTGAAGCCTTAGGGATGGGAGCCAGTGAGCAGGAAGCGACGCAGGAAGCGACGGGCAAGTGCTAGCTGGTTTCAGATTAGGAGCAACAGTGGAGGTGGGGAGCTGAGGCTGCTGAGTGGTGGGGGCTTGAGAGAAACAGGCTGGGGAAAGCTAGAGTCTAATATAACTGAGCTCACATCAGAGACAGGGATTAGGTGCTGCTGGGCAAAGCAGGTCTGGGGTCATGATGAGTGTTGGGTGCTATGTATTAGGCAGTTCTGAGGTGCTGTTGGATGCTGAATGGTACTGATGGGTTGGGGATGGGTCAAGGTGTGGGGCAGTGTTGGGAAGCAATGGAGAAATAAACAAGAGAGGGAATCAGGGGTCCTCACCCCAGCCTGCAGCATAGTATACCCTCATCCTGGGGCCTGGGTGCATGCTCACAGCTACCACCCTGCTCCATCGGCAGCCAGGAGGAGGCAGCCAGAAAGAGAAGATTCATGGCAGCTGTGACAGCCGCACAGGCCACCTGGAGGAAGATGGATGGAGGTCACCACTGATGTCCGCTCTGGGCACAACTCAGCTTGATCCCAGCACCAGGTTTGGCATTCTTGTCCAAACAGGGGTCAGGGGAAGGAATTTGTCACTGTGCCATCTGGGGCTTTCTTCTCTGGGATTTGTTCCCCGCCAGGCAAGGACACCATCAGCAAATAACAGTGGGAGGAGACACCGAAAGGCCTCCCTGCTTTGCTGGCCCCAGAGCTTGCTAACCTCCTGCTGGCTGCCCACCTGTCCACCTTCGCCCACTCACTGGTCATGAGGAAGCCCTCAGCAGGGGTCAGGGAAAGAGTGAGGTTCTGTGAACTGTGGTCCACTTAGAAGTGGGGCACAGAAGGGTTGGCTAGTGAGGGCAGCCTCATGAGCCTTAGGCCCTTCAGCCTGGTCTTGTCTGCGTCCCCTGTTACTGGGCTCATATAGGCAGCAAGGGGCACAGCTCACCCTAAGGGAAGCCCCAGGCCAATCATGGGGATTGCTATGGAATCTGAGACAAATAGAGCCCAGGTATGAGACACTGCCTTACCCAGCCACCAGGAAGAGTAGGAAGGTGGTGGCAAGAGCACACAGGAACACGCTCCAGTCCACAAATGACAGAGTTCTCAGCAACAAAGCCTCTTTAGGACCTCCCTGACAGGGAATTACAGTGAGGAATCCATCCCCATCCTGGTTTGCACCAGACTCACCCTGCCTTGGAACTTCAAGTCTTCCTCAGGGATCAAGGATGGCAACGGTACTAACCACTAGGGACCAGGCCTGCACACAGTAGGAGTTTAATAAATGAGTACTTGAGTGTATCTTTTCTGCTGGATCTCCCTAAAAGCGACGCCTCCAGGCAAGCTTCCACTGACTCAGCAGAGTCCTGCTTTGGAAGTGAGTGACACACCTAGGGATGACGGTCCTGTGGGGCAGATGATACCATAAGGATCCCAGACAACTGTTAGAAAGAGGCCACCAATGGGTTATGATGTGACATTTACAGGACATTTTCCTGGCCTCTTCCAGACCAGCATCTTCTCACAGCACCAGATGTCTAACTTGACCGCCTAGCACAGGAACACTGGGTTCCTTTCTGGCTCCAGGGAGTCCATCTCGCCTGGTCTACTCTGGAGTCTGCTTCCTGCTGACTGAGTCCCCTCTTCCTCTCACACTCTTCTGGGCTCATGATTTATCTCCAGCTCTTCATGAGCACCAGGACAACCTCCTGAACCCTAGATCCTAGAGCCCATAGCTCCACACATCCCTATCTGATACCCCACTATTTCCCCACATGGGTCCTCTCCAACCCCAATTTCCAGCAGGGCCTTGGTCCCTGACTCACCTCCAGCTGCCTGTGCAGGATTTCAGGATGAGTTGGCATGGCTTCCTTCCTTGCTATGTGCAATAACCTCCCTTTGCAGTTGTGGCTACCCTGTCTCTCCCTTGCTCACATGGACTTCGAACACCTGCAGCAGAATGGTAAAGCTAGTGCTGTGTGGTTGCAGAAGCAGGGGGTAGAATTCAGGTGCACAGTGAGTACCAAGCAGCCACTGGTGGCCCAGGAGCCCTGTTGACAGAAGTTTCTGTAGTGCCCGGTCCTGCAGCTGTTCAGTCCCAAAGAAACACACAGAGGTTTATATTAATTATAAATTGGTTGACCTATTAGCTCAGACTTTCTTATTAACTCTTACATTGTACCCATTATTCTTGTCTGTGCTAGTAATGTGGCTTGGTTTTATTAGCGAGGCATTCTCATCTTGCTTCCTCTGTGTCTGGGTGACAACTGCAGACTGAGCCTTTCCTCTTCCCAGAATTTACCTGTTCTCGTCACCCCGCCTATACTTCCTGCCCGTTTTCCCTGCCTATATTTCCTGCCTGGCTAGTGGCCAATCAGCATTTTTTAAAACAATACAAGTGGCAAATCTTTATAGGGTACAATGCTGTTGTCCCACAGCACTTCCCCATTTTTTTAAAAAAGCAAACACTCTTTTGTTTAGTGCTTTTCTTTTTAACCATCATCCATAACAACTTGTAACCAACACTCTAAACAAAGGAAAACATGGTGCGGGAGAATTGTCTGCATTCTGTCAATCATATTTTAAATAAGTGCTGATTGGCCAGGAAGGAAGTATAGGCGGGAAAACCAGACAGGAAGTAGAGGTAGAACAAAGAGAACAGGAGTATTCTGGGAAGCAGGAAGCTCCCTCCACCAGTTCTGCCCAGATCACCGAAGAAGCAAGATGTGAGCAGCCCTGCTGAAAAAGGTACCGAGCCATGTGGCTAACATAGAAAAGAATAATGGGTCAAGAGCTAACAAGGAGCCTGAGCTAATGGGCCAATCCGTTTTATAACTTATGGAGATCTCTGTGTGATTTTCTTTGGGACTTGCCAGCTGTGGGGTACTGGGCAGGACAGAAACCCCAACAAGCTGGCCCCTTCATGTTACAAAAACATCCATAGTTCAGTTTTGGGGATGTAGGTGTAGCTTTTTAGGGTACTTTTTGCTGTTGGGGCACTGAAAATCTTATGGGGACCTAAAGAAAATTTAGAATTATGATCAAGTCCTGACTGGAGTATTCTGTGAGGCTTGATCATCTCAGGCAGCAGTCTTGAGGCAGTTCTGGATGTAGAACTCAGACATCTGGGCCATCTATTCCTTTTTGTTGTTGGGTTTTTTTCTGGATTTTTTAAAAAATATTTATTTATTATGTATACAATATTCTGTCTGTGTGTATGCCTGCAGGCCAGAAGAGGGCTCCAGACCCCATTACAGATGGTTGTGAGCCACCATATGGTTGCTGGGAATTGAACTCAGGACTTTTGGAAGAGTAGGCAATGCTCTTAACCTCTGAGCCATCTCTCCAGCCCCTGGGCCATCTATTCCTATCAGAGATTTCTCAGGGATCTTTTTTTTTTTGATCAGACCTGATTTTTTAAAACTCAGAATGAATCCAAAGCCTCTGATTTCCTTGGGAACAAAAGCAAAACCTCTTCTCCAAAGTAATATACCTTTTGACTTAAATTTTGAAGTCAAGGCATTTTCAAAATATATATGTTGGATTAATCCAGCATTTATAATCAAATGTCTTAGCAGCTGTTGCTTCTTCCTCACCATTAAACAATTCAAAGACAACACAATAACATACAGTATCCAGATTCTCTGTGTATTTTCCGTCTTTACATGGCTTTATTTTAAACTCTATTTCTTTTATTTTTTAATGTTTGGGATTTTTGAGACAGGGTTTCTCTGTGTATTTTTGACTGTTCTGGAACTCACTCTGAAGACCAGGCTGTCCTTGAACTCACAGAGATCCTCCTACCTCTGACTCCCAAGCTCTTGGATTAAAGGTGTGCCACCACACACAACTTCTCTCTTTCTCTTATACACCAGAGGCCTCCAGCAACAGAGCCCCTTGCCTCTGAACTTGGTATTGGAGCAAAGGGGCTCTTGAGATGTGTCAAACACGGGAGGGCAGAGCAGGCAGAAGTCTCTCTGCAGAGCCTTTTCTCTAGTGATGTATTTTTGTCAGTAGCCGACCCTCTGGGCCCCAGTTTCCATTATAAAGAAAGACTGACTTTCTCAGGGATGGTAGGATGGAAGAAGGTCAGAGGAAACAGGGTCTCTATTTCTTGCCTGTATTGCTTGCTACACACTTGTTGCTGATGTCAGTCCCCGGGTGAAGACTCCATCGAAACCCTCTAGCAGCCACTGGAGAGCTGAGTCTCCTGGGCACATCTCAGAGTCAATTCTGTCTCCTAAACAGGCCTTCTAGGGTAGAAGCTCAATACCATCTGGGTAACACACCCCCAGCATCCCTGGAGTCAACCTGAAGAGCAGTTTTGGGGAGACCCCAAACACCCCTGAGTCTTAACTCCTTTGCACACAGAGGGGACGTCATTAAACTGTCCTATTTAGGGGTTGGTGAGATGGTTAATCGGGGAAAGGCACCTACTGCCAGGCTAACATGACAATCTGGGTCCAATCCCCAGGACCCATAGGTTAGAAAGACAGAGTTGACTCTTGGAAGTTGTCCCATGACCTTCACATGTGTGTGGTGGCATGTGAATGCCCATACACATACAAAGACAGAAACAAATACATGAATATGGAAACTCACTTGGCACTGCAGTTCCAAAGGAACAGACAGGCTTCAGAATCTTCTGTGGAAAGACCTCGGGATAGAAACGAGGGCAGGGCAGGTACATGAGTGTGTATGGGAGCATGGGGCAGGTATAAGCATAGTGTTGTGTTTTTATGTACGTGTGTGCATGCATATGAGTATGTATGTACATGTGTGTGCATGCACGTGTGTGTGATTATGTGATTTTCTGCAAAGTTACCACAAGCATAAATTGTAGGAAAGACAGTCGTTTCAACAAGCACTGCTGAGAAAGATGGATGCTCACTTGCAGAAGAATGAAATCAGATCCCCAATTCTCACTTTGTATAAAAAAAACAATTCTGGGGCTGGTGAGATGGCTCAGCAAGTAAAGGGGCTTGCTACTAAACCTGATGACCTGAGTTCAGTCCCTGGGGCCTACATGGTAGAAGGGGAGAACCAGTTCCTGTAAGTTGTTCTCTGATCTACACACACACGCACGCACGCACACCCACATACACACACACACACACACACACAATACACACACACAACACACATACACACACACTGGTGTGGCTCATGTACATGTATGTTCATGCATATGCACACACATAAATAAATGTAAAAAAATCATAATTTATCAACCTTAATATAATGCATGAAACTTTGAACTGGGGTTGGACATGGTGGTGCATGCCTTTAGTCTCAGCATCTAGGGGCAGAGACAGTGTACCTATTTAAATTTGATGCTAGTGCTGTTTACATAGCAAGTTTCAGATTAGCCAGGGCTACACAGCAAGATCTTTCCTCAAATAAAATAAAATAAAATAAAATAAGATAAAATAAGAATTGACAAATGAGGGACTGGAGAGATGATTCAGGAGTTAAGAGCACTGGCTGCTCTTCCAGAGGACCTGAGTTCAATTCCTAGCACCCACATAGCAGCTCACAGTCTGATGCCCTCTTCTGGTGTACAGGCATACATGCAGACAAAGCACTCTTACACATAAAATACATACATACAAATCTTTAAAAATAAAATAAAGAATTGACAAATGGGATTGCATAGAATTAAATTTTTTTAAATGCACAAAAAGAGACATTGGGTCAAAAGTGAAGAGACAGGTTTCAGAATGGGAACATCTTTGCTAACTATATATATGATAAGAATTAATATTTAAAATCTATAAAGAACTCTAAAAATTAAACACCAACCCTCCCCAAACAAATGATTCAATCCATAAATGGGCTAATAAAAAGACAGTTCTCAAAGAGAACTGCAAATGACTGATAAATATATAATAAAATGTTCAACACCCTTAGTCACCAGGGAACTGCAAATCAAAAGCGCTTTGAGATCATCTTACCCATTGCATCATCAAGAAAACAATGGGGTCTGGAGGGGTGACCCAGGGGTTAAGAGCACGCACTGCTTTTGCAGAGGCTGGGAGCTGGCTTCCCAGCACTCATGTTAGGCAACTCAAACTGCCTATAACTCCAGAGCTGGGGTGGCGGCGGGAGCAAGACTCCAACACTTCTGGCCTATGTGAGTACCTGTACCTCCCACATGTATACATAACCTAAATTGATACAAATAAATCATTTTTTTGAGACAGGATTTCTCTGTATAGTCCTGACTGTCCTGGATTTACTCTGTAGACTAGGCTGACATTGAACTCAGAGATCTGCCTGCCTCTGTCTCCCAAATTCTGGGATTAAAGGTGTGCGCCGCCACCATCTGGCTACAAATACATCTTTTAAAACAGAAAATAAGCAACAATACACACTGGTAAAGACGTAGGGAAAGTAAACTTGTGCACTGCTGGTGGGGTTGTAAACCAGTACCATGGCTATGGAAATCAGTGTAGAGGATTTTCAAAAATCCAATAGTCATTATTTAAATGATAATTAAAAACACAATTGAAAACATTTTAAGTAGTATGGTAAACTGCATACTTACGGGCTGGAGAGATGGCTCAGAGGTTAAGAGCACTGACTGTTCTTCCAGAGGTCCTGAGTTCAATTCCCAGCAACCACATGGTGGCTCATAGCCATCTGTAATGAGATTTGGCGCCCTCTTCTGGCATGCAAGCATACATGGAAGGAATGTTGTATACATAATAAATAAATAAATCTTTTAAAAAAAAACTGCACACTTACATAGTCTACTCACTGTATCCTCAGGTTCTGCTTCCGTGTCTCCAGCAGGCCATAGATCAAAGAGAATATTAAACAAAAATTGCCTCTATCACGAACATGTAGAGACTTTTTCTGGTCATGAGTTCCTAAGGCAGTCCTTAGAATATGACTTCACACAACACATTGTATTGGATTTCATGAGTGAACTAGGGGACTGAGAGCTCCAGGAGACCGGGCATGACACTGTAACTTCCGTGCTGCATAAAGGACTTGAACATCTGTTTCTGGGTTCAGGTGTCTGGGGGGTTGAGGAAGGAAACTGTGACCAGGCTGATGGAGGCTCTTGGGAGGCTATGCAGACAAACTGATACAGTGGCCACAGTAGGTGTATGCGTGCCCCAGAATGACCCCTTGTAAGAAACAGAGGCTTAAGCTTTCTTTAAATGTCCCAAGAGTTTAAAAAGAAAAAAGAAATTGGGAGTTTGGGTTTTACAAACTGTGACATCAAACCCCATGCCGTGAAAGCCAGTTTACAGAGAGCCCTCTCCCTCTTCATATGGCCACAGTATGAAGAAAGCTCTTAGATCTTTCTGAGTAGGATCCGGCCTACTGTCGAGTTTGCAAGCGAAGGCAGCATCTCAGAGAAGCACAGCCTGTGAGACAGCTTTCCTCTTCACCCGCCGTTCCCTAGGAGCAGCCTCACTTCACCTGCAGGGATGTGGTTGTGGCCTGGTACATCTGGATGCCTGCCAGGAGCGGTGAATGTGTGCCCTGCAGTGGTGGCCTCCATCGGGTACAGACTTTGGACTGACAGGCCCGGGATCAAATGGAGCCATTTGACTTCAGGATGGAGGGCTTTCTGCCAGGCTGTCCAGCTGCAGGGTGGTTCCCTCCACCCACACAAGACTGGGGGCCTGCTATTCAAGACCAGAGGGGTGGAGCCCCTAGATCAAGGCTTTTTGGAGTCCTGAGAGAAGGGTAATACCATGGGGTGGGACCTGTGAACTCTCTACAGGAGTCCCCAGATGGATCTACAAACACTTGATGAATGTGAACTTGTATTTAGCCCTGGTCAGAGATGTTCAAATACCTGGGACCCCAGGGGCAACAGGAAGAGGAGGGGCAGAGAGTGAACTCTCAGAGAGCACACTGTGGAAGGACTCTGGCTAGTTGTGGGAGTGGATGGTGGCTCACCAGTCAGGCAAGGCTGGATGTGAATGTGGGTCTGTTCAGAGGTCAGTGTTGAGCTCAGCAGGGATGCCAGGGCACACGCTGTCCCCAGTGCTCACGCTGTCCCCAGGACACACGCTGTCCCCAGGGCACACGCTGTCCCCAGGGCACAGGCCCACCAGTCACTTGGAAGGAAGCTGTAGCTCTGCCCCTGCCCTCACTCCAGGCTCCACCACCACAGGCCCTGACCTGGGGGGTCAGAGATGCTTGGGGTTCTGGCTACAAACCCTTAATGGCTTCCACTGCCTACCTCAGACCCCTCCAACCGCTGTCTACTGAGTCAGTCTGCAGGTCTAGTATGGCGTGTGGTTACTGGTCTGTGTGCCGGCTGGAGCCTGCTGCCTCTGTGCCACTCCCCCTTCACTACTGACTCAGGGTGAATAGGTGCTCAAGTCTCCTATTAAAAAAACAAAACAAGACACAAAGTCATGTGGGAGTGAACACAGGGGAGGGGACCAAGAAAATTCACTGAGTTGTTATCCACTTTCTGCTGGGCAAGACATCCAGTCTTTTTTTTTTTAATATTTATTTATTTATTTATTTATTATGTATACTACATTCTTCCATGTCTGCCTGCATGCCAGAAGAGGGCACCAGATGGTTGTGAGCCACCATGTGGTTGCTGGGAATTGAACTCAGGACCTCTGGAAGAGCAGTCAGTGCTCTTAACCTCTGAGCCATCTCTCCAGCCCCTGACATCCAGTCTTAACAAGGCAAATGTGCCCATTCTCTAATGAGAAAACTGAGGCCCACAGTCTGGTATTTCCTCATCTACCACAGTGCCCCAAATCCCTAGTTACAGGTGGACTTCATACATGTTTACCTGTCTGGTGACCCATTCCTTAGCACCAGGCTCCTGGGTTGTGCCATTTCTACTTACCTTTGTACCCTGTTCCAGATTCGGCCCACTAGCACTTTGCAAGGACGAGTTTTATAATAGCCTCTCCTTCCAGTGGCAATTCCTGTTCTCCAGAGCGCCTGCTGTGATTTAGGCAGACGTGTTGGGCGGACCACTCCACATGGAGGACACCCCACTTGAGGCCGTTGGCAGATTCTTGGATATGGGGAAGGTCCTTATCCACCAGTGCCTCTTAATGCCGTTCTTAACTATGTGCAGTGTTCAAGTGGGATTTCCACTCAGTGACTAAAGGAGCGTCTCCTGTGGGATGGAGAGATGCAGTCCAGAAATGGGTGCTGACTTGTCCAGTTATACAATAAGGGAGCTGCAAGACCAGATCCCCTCTGGTCTCGCCTGCCTCACCTCAGTGATAGACAGCCAAACGCCGGCTGATTAGCGCTCCTCCAGGACCAGACTGGCCACAAACATGAAGCCTCTGCCAAATTCCTCCCAGAGCTTGGTCTGTGGCTCTGGCTCCTCAGCTCTGAGAGCAGTCACCCTCTTCAGAAAGTGCAGAATGGCCAGCAGGGCCGCAGGCTCCAGGGATGTCTCTTCTGCCAGGACCCTCTCCAGGAGTCCCAGGAAGCAAGAAGCCTTGTCCAAGGACAGGATCCCAGGAACTTCAGAGAAGGGGATTGGGAGAAGCTGTGGGCTGAGCAACAGCTGACAAGAGGGAGCTCTGCAGGGTCACAGCTGGGCACTACCAGGGTCTTGTTAGTGGATCAAATCTGTCACAAGCTCCCAGCTGTCAGGGATTCTAAAACAAGAGTCGGAACAAACTGAATTTCTGTAACACCTCAGGTGTGTGAGGAAAATAAGGTCCAGGGAGTTGACCCACGGTGCTGCAGGTGTTCCAGGCTCCAGGGATGGGCTTACCACAGTGGCACTGGCCAAAGCATTGACTCTGCTGATGACATCCTGATCTGGCCATGACTGGAACTCCTGAAGCTGCTCATAAGTCTCTGCGAAAGAGTGGAGGCCAGGTTGGGCCCTGGACAGCAGAGGGGCCAGCCTGTACTATGACCATTCCCATGTCATCTTTGGACTTCTGTGGCAGTGTCTGGAGGACTGAACAGTGTGCTGGGTTGGGAAACTAAGGCACAGCATGGCAGAATGTTCCAAGTCATTTAGCTAAGATTCACTCCAGGTCTGTTGGGACTGCCTGCCTGTTGTGTAGATCTGAACCGTGGAGATTACAAATGCCCTGACTTCTCTGCTGTCCGGCTCTTCAGCAGCAGCACAGCTAAGGTGCACCTATTTGGTAGCAGCACAGAAAGAGCTGTGGGTGCAAGCAGAGTTCAGAGAGAGCCCTGGGTGCTGGATCCTGGGTTCCACGTGGGGCACTCCTCTGTGGGCACTGGCCAGGGTAGCAAGATGACAAGACCACATCTTGGCTCTCTACCCGCTGGGTACTGTACCCATTTACCCATGCAGGTAGAAAAGGTGCCTGCTCATGACTGGGAACCAGCAGGCAGCATCACCGCACCATCGGGTGGTGTGTTGAGATGGGAGCTAGGCGCTGAAGACAGCACTGAGCAAGCCTACACTAAGCCTTAGGCTATTAAGATTTGGCAGCTTCAGGACAGACACTGTTGGCCTGGAGAGGGCATGACCAGAACTGGGAGGGATCAAACTGACAAAGGCTAGAAGGGTCGGTACTAGACCCAGTGGGCTACCCAGGGGAAAGGCACAGCAGCTGGGCAGGGCAAGAAAGTGCCCACGTCCTACCAGGACAGAGCAGGCGCACCCGCATGGCCAGCAACAGCAAGGGGCATGAAGCCTAGGGCTTCTGGGTCCTATTGAAAGAGCAGGCCCCCTGGGGGTGGCCCACAGGCACAAGCTTGTCTCACCTGCGTGGAGCTGAGCGCCCAGTCCCAAGGTGGAAGTCGGTGAGGTTGCCACTGAATGCGACATAGACCAAGAACCCATCACTCGGGAAATTCTGATCCTGTCCCAGCACAAGGACACCTTGGGAGGCACCAGGTGACCGGTGCTGAGTCCCTGAGCCCTGGTGTGTCGCCTATCGTCAGCGAACAGAGCCCAGCGCCTGCTGAACTGCTCCCACGTGGCTCACACATGGTGCCAGCGGCCGACAGTCAGAGTGAAAGATGGCGTTGAAAGGCGCGGGATGACCATGCACAAGCAGCGCCACATGCACGGAGGCTCCGGGTTCGGCAAAGGCACGCAGCTGCAGCACATTGGCTGTAGTGGGGGGGAGGCCAGGGAGAAGAGCTTGGTCACCTCTCTGTGCATCTCACTGAATGTGCGTGCAGGCTCTGAGGGCCTCTGGCACTGACAAGGCCTCACGCAATCATGCCATTCTGTCAGCAGACCTCTCGCCGAACACCAGTGCAGCCGTGGTGTGCACACCTGTGATGACAAGGGATCTAGAGCCTCAGTTTCCCTAGCTACCACGGGGCCTGCCTCTGACTGGCACAGCCACAGAGGCTGTCATGGAATTTGGGATACCTCCAATCCAGAGAAGAAAGATGTTGGGGCACCAGGTCCCAATGCTCAGGGGTTAACCCCCACTTCCAGGTGGCCATGCACCGATAACTTAACTTCAGCTCATCTCAAAGCATTGTCACCGTGAGACCCCATCTCTGGAGGAGCCTCTGGATGGACTCTATATTCCATCCCTTGCCCCAGATTCTGAACCCGTGCTTAAGCCTCTGTGGTTGTCTTCACAGAAAGGCCTCTTTGTGTCCTAGCCAGGCCAAGTAGGGCAAACGTGGAGTGAGAGTCCTATCTAGAAACCCCACAGCCAGGTGGCCAAGGCTCTGGTCACAGCACCCTTGGATTTGCCACCAGCTCAGCTGCTGTCCTGTGAACCTGTATACCCCTTCTGCGGTCTGCAGGACCTCGCCTGGGGGCACTGGGGCTGGAACACATTTAAGAATGAGCTCAGGAGAGAATTTTGTGGGCACCTCACCCTTTTGGATGAGGACAAAGGCCAAGACCAAGGGCCAGAATAGAACTATCTACTTTGTGACTTGCTCCCTGCAGTCTTTCTGTACAACAGGAATGACATGGGGCCTCCCACCGGGATCTGAAGGAAGCCCTGCCTCCTCCCCTTTCTGCATAGTTTAGACCAATATGCCAACCACTTGACTCAGTTGGGCTGTCTCTACAGGGCACCTTCCTGTGAGGACCCCTCATACCAACCTTCAGCCAAAGGGTTCCTTGATTCACCTGGGTGGTTAGAGGAGGTCCCAGAGAGACTTCTGATCTGAGAGAGAAGATGAATCTCCCCAATGTCTATGGTAGTTGAATGTCTACTGTATGTTCAAAGGGGGACATGGAAGCTGCAGGTTCTGCAGCCCATGTGTTTGATACTGGGCACACACCCCTCCCATGAGTGAATGTCATTGGCATAACACCTAGTAGTTGCTTTTGTTTTGTTTATACTGCAAGGGCTTAACTTTCATAATCATGATGTGTGGTGGCCACTTGGAAAGTAAACAACCATGGGCTCTCTTGACCTCCCCATTGAAGTCTTCTCTCCAGAAATTAGGTACCAGAAGAGAGAGGTGACAGTGACCAAGGGAGATCATTCTGGATGCGGCAATGGCAGGTTAGGGACAGTGGGAATCACATGCCTGGCCAGTGTCTACTGAAGAAAAAAAACAAAGCAATAAAGCAGAGGTAAGTAAGCTGAGCGTTGGGGACACACTGCAGTCTTGGAACTTGGGAGGTGATGGCGAGAGGGACAGGAATACGGGGACAACATCGACTTCATAGTCATTCCAAACCAGCCTGGCTCCATGAGGCTCCCTTTCAGAACAATAGCAAAAGAAAGCAACTCAGCCATCTGCCTTGCTACCTCCTGGGAGTTCTGCCGGGTCCAAACCTCCCCTTTCTTTGGTTCCCAGACCTCACCAGTCTGAAAGCCAAGCCCTGGGGTTAGAGTTCAGGAAAATGAGTGGCACTTGCTTGTATAAAAGGATGGTCTTCAGGATAGACGCTGGGAAACGGGGAGTTGTAAGGGCTACAGCAATCCACTCTTTAGAGTGAGGCAGACACAACCCAGGTGTTCAGACCATGGGGTTCTCAGCTTGGTGGTCCAGGCTTTCTGTCTTGTCTGTCCTACTGTCCTACATTCCCCATGCAGCTGCCTGGCTTTGTTTTCCTATGTATTTGTTTGTGATAGGGTCAGCCACGTAGCTATGCTGGTCTTGAAGTTTCAGTCCTACCTGAGGGTTGCACCACACCCATCTAAGCCCGGCCTGTTTCCAGACTCCCACTCTGGTTTCTTGAGACCTTTGCTGACTCAAGGTCTCTGACCTTGAGACTGTCTCCACAACTGGACCAGTCTCCTACACCTTCAGTAGTCCCTTCTTCAAGATGGATTCTCAGTCACTCCAGTCACCCAACACTGGTGGTAGGCCTATCACAACCCAGATGTACAAATTGGGGATGTGGTAGTCATGGGTGATTTGGAGGCTGCTCCTGGCAAGCTATAGGGCCCAGCCTCCCGGGTCTCTATTCCAGCCCTGGCACGCACAAATGTCCTAGACAACATACTGTCCTGGCCTCATGCCACTTGGGAGTCTGGACCCTCAGAATAGTAATCCATGACCTTTTTTATACAGAAAATCAGTCCTGTGCTGAGGGGGCCTCAGAAGTGAACATTGTTGTTCACTCTGAAAATCGCCAATTTCCTGTAACTTTGTCCCATTTTAAATAATTTCTGTGTCTATGTGCCCCATTCCATGAAAGTGGGTGGTGAGGTCTAATTATCACCGTATGTTGTGTACATTGTAGTAGGGTTCAGAGAGTGCTCTGTCCCTTGCTTCTATCTGTACCCTCCAACCACCTCTCTTGCTCCAAAAAAAAAAAAAAATTGACTGCCACCATGAGTCTCCTCTCCACAAGAACTCTAGGAAAATCCTAGGACCTGGGTCTCCCTTTACCGTTGTACCCTCCCCTGTTGCCTGTTCTTACCATGGTGCTATCTTCCCAGTCAGCTTTATGTCTGGGGTTGCCTCCACGTGGCAGGTCAGCCAGTCTGGCTGAGGACAGGGGCGGGGCTCTGTAACTCCTCCCCGAGGCCCTCTCCTTCCCCGGGTCTGGGACAGAACCTCTAGCCCTGGGTGCAGGAGACCGGCCTGTTGTTTGTGCTTCAGCCGTCGCTGTTGAAGGCTCCCCATTAGAAAGAGTCGCCTTGTGAGACTTGGATTTAAAAAATGAACTTGGGGAAGCTGAAGGGCCCTTGAAATTTTCGACGCCTTAGGAGATCAAGTTAGCAGGACCAGAGCCGAGCAGCCCTCAGTATATGGCTAACCGGAGTTGCTCCCCAGCCTACCCTGTCTTACATCCACTCCGCTCTGAGGACAGCTGGCGCGTTCTGCTTTGCATGTGAACTGTGGACAGTTAGCAGGGAGGTTAGGAAAGAAGGCAGTTCCAGGAGAGCAGGGGAAGCTAAGCCTGGGCTGTGCAGGTCCCACCCCACTGGCCAGAGTGGTTTTAACAGCAAGGACTTATGCTTAGGGCGGGAACGCGGGCGGGATGACCCCACCCGTGTGAGGAACGTTACCTTGTCATTGAGCCTCAACTTCCGCATGTGTAAAGCTCTCCTTGCAACCAGTACAAAAGAGGTGAGATTGCTGTGCCAGCTTAGTGCCCTTGACTTGGTGTAAAATTTGGATACTTTCAGTATTCTGGCCAAAGCTTAATTAACACTTGTTAAAGTAGCCTGCTGGCAACATAGTTGTTTATTTTTTTCTAATTTCATTTTTTAAACTGTAGTAAAACACGCAGCACATTAAATTTACAATCTGTGATAGTTATTTTTATTTTCTTTCTTTATTTTAGAGACAGGGTTTCACTATGTAGACTTGGCTGACCTAAGACTTGCCAGATAGAGCAGGCTGGCCCTCTACTCACAGAAATCAGACTGCCTTTTTCCTGAGTGCTGGAATCAAAGGCATGCGCTACCGTACCTGGCCCTATTTTATTTCTTAGTCTTGCCTAAGAAATAAAAGGCTGGCCTAAAACTTGAGACTTTTCTGTCTCAGCCTCTAAATACCAGCATTACCCATGACAAAGCTGTAGCCTGACATCTACCTTTCTCTTCTCTACAGAGTCCTTGCCTGGGCCCCTACTAACTCTCTCCCTTTCACAGGTCCTACATTTCCCAAGGTCATTCCTGGAGATGGCCAAGAAGCGTGGGGTGGGGGTGGAGGTTATGGGCCTCCACCTGAGGCCCTGACTGGCAGGCAGATCTGTCTGGATCATGGCCTACCTATTCCATTCTTCCCAGAGGCTGATGCCCAGCTACCAGCGAGTGTGATCTGTCACCTTTGGGGATGGCAGTCATGAAAGGTTCATTGTCTCTGTGGACTGGACCCAGAGGCTGAAGGAGACTGATACCCATCAGGCCTATTGTCTGAGGAGTGAAATGGGCAGGGTAAGAGCAGCCAGGGGCACCTCAGGGGTGACCTGAGGAGACTGGCCCTTCTCCCTGGACCTGGGTCTGGCTCAGTCGTAGACCTGCAGCCAGAAGGCGGCAGCAGCGTGGATGTCTTCACCCTAGGGTCACCAGGCATGGAGTTGGGCTTTCACCAACTCTCATGTGACTCTGACAAGTCTCTCTATCCAAGGCCTCGGAGAGTCACCTCTTTCTCTGAGAATAGGGAAGATCTGTGATTGTCAGGGGTTGGCTCCCACGCTGGAGACACACCCCATTGATCCTGGCACAGGAGGGTACATAGGGTATCTAGGATGGGCCCAGAGTCATTCAACCTCTTCTCTCCTTGGCCCCAGTGTCTTCCACCACGGGGTTCAAGGAATAAGCCTTCTCCAGTTCCTATGCCACACTGCTCTTCCCTTCCTAAACTGTTCTGTGGCTTCCTGGCATGTCCAAGAGAAAGGCTTGCCTCCTGCCTATGGTTGCCATGGCCCATCCCTGCTTGTCCCCCTTTTCCTGCCTTCTTCCCTCAGTTTCTTTTCTTTTTTTTTTTAAATATTTATTTATTTATTATGTATACAATATTCTTTCTGTGTGTATGTCTGAAGGCCAGAAGAGGGCACCAGACCTCATTACAGATGGTTGTGAGCCACCTTGTGGTTGCTGGGAATTGAACTCAGGCCCTTTGGAAGAGCAGGCAATGCTCTTAATCGCTGAGCCATCTCTCCAGCCCTTCCCTCAGTTTCTGACTGAGGTGAACATCTTCTTGTTCTCTTCCCAGGTAGAGTCGGGACCTCTCAGGCTTTTCTGTTTCACTTTCTTCATCCTCTAGGTCTCAACTTCGACGTTTCTAGGTTGTCTTCCTATCCCCGTGTTGAGGGTAGCCTGGGCTACATGAGACTCTGCTTCAAACAAAAACTATGCTTATTTGTATTACAAGGAAACCAAAAGCCAGAATAGGGAAGAAACAGCAGCCATGTTGCAAGTCCATGCATAGCCTAAGCCTTCTGGGCTAGCCCCACACAGCCCCCACCTCCACCCACCTCTTTCCTTCAAGCTTAAAGATAGTTTCACATTTGTGGGGTTGGTGCCTCTGTACAATAGGCATAATGTTCCTTTTGGGGGTGAAAAGAATGTTTTCAAATGGACTGTGATAAAAATTGTTCGACCGTGAACTTACCGAAGAGTGTTGAGTGGTATTCTGGCCGGATGGGTGGTGTGCTATGCGAACTTCAGCAAGAACACCTGCTATTTTGGGGAAAGACAATGCTGGGGAAGAGAAGGCATTGCACTTGAACCCAGACGACCTGCTTTTAACATATGCATGAACTTTATGAGCCCAGGCCCCTCATCTAGGAGTTCCTCCCCTCCCCCCAGTAGCTTACAGTACCCAATAAGACTGTCAGGAGAATGAGGCAGAGAGGATTGGGAAAAATTAGTCTCTCACTCCAGAAGATGAACAAAGGCTTCATCAAACAAAGAGGGCAAGTTACAGAGTCAGGTCATTTTCGAGTGTGGGGCTGGGAGCTGGCTGAGTGGGTAGGAGTGCTTGCTCTCCAGCACAAGGACCCGAGTTCAGATTCACAGTATCTACTAAAAGCTAGGTGTAATGGTGTGTACCAGGACCTCAGTGCCCAGGGGACCAAGACAAGGATCCAGGGGCTGGCCACCTAGCCTGGCTGTAATAACAAGGTCCAAGTTCGGTGAGGGACATTGTCTCAAAACACTAAGGTGGAGAGCAGTAGATGACCGTGCCTGACCGGCTTCCATATTCTCATACATGTAGAGTGTGTAAATATAAAGAGAAAAATAAAATGAAAGCTGCAGGGACTCCAGTGATGTTTAGTCAAGACGAACCGCCTGTCTTGACTCCGAACTCTTATTGATTAAGACTAACTAGATCTGGCTGGGCAGTGGTGGCACATGTCTTTAATCCCAGCACTCAGGAGGCAGAGGCAGGTGAATCTCTGTAAGTTCGAGGCTAGCCTGGTCTGTAAGAGCTAGTTCCTGGACAGGCTCCAAAAGTACAGAGAAACCCTGTCTCAAAAAAAAAATAGATTCATGCATAAGGAAGGAAGGAAGGTAGGAAGAAAAAAAGTCACTAGGGAGGTGGGCATTGTAGTGCATTTTTTCATCCCAGCACAAAGGAGGAAGAGGCAGGCAGATCTCTGTAAGTCCAAGGCCAGCCTGTTCTATATAGATATAGTAGCAAGTTCTAGACCAGTCTGGTGAGACCCTGTCTCAAAATAATGATGATAAATAAATAAATATCACAAGGCATAATATTTCTCTTCAGTTTTAATCAAAGGAATAAAACCACGACAATTTATGATATTATTTTATGATACTAATTTAGTAAAAAGGAAAGTTCCTTAAACCATAAAATTCTGTGCTGGCACAGTTGTGATAAAGTCAGTAAGAATACTTAGGTACTGTTACAGTGTAAACCAGCATAGCCCTCTTGGAGATCAATGGAATAACACTAATAGCATCAAAGATACTATGGTCTTTGACTCTAGGAGTTTTATCCTACGGTAAATGCTTTGTGCATGAAAGAAGCGGCAATGGAGCTGGAGGGATGGTTCACTGGTTAAGAGCACATGCTTCTTCTGCAGGATCCAGATTCCAGCATCTACATGGCGCCTAACAGCCATCTGCAACTCCAGTTCCAGGGATCTGATGCCTTCTTCTGGCTTTCTAGGGTATTGCATATACATGGTACACTTCATACATGCAGGCAAACATTCACACAAATAAATTAAGAATAAATAATAAAATCACAATTTTCTAAAAGCAGTGATCAGAATATTCTGTATAATTTTAAAAAGAAAGGTAGGTCCAAAGCTGGGAGGGTTTTCTCAGTTGCTTAAAATACTTACATTGCAAGCACAAAGACCTGCCTTTGTTGCCTAGGCATCAAATAAAACAATCAGGCATGCATTTGTAGTCCTAGTACTGGGGAGACAGAGAAAGGGGGCCCCTAGTTTACTGGCAAACTAGCTCCATCTAAGTGAAGTCCCATGACTCAAAAGAAGTGGATTCTGTTCTTGAAGATAACACCCAAGGTTTTCCTACAACTTTCACATGTGCACATATGTACACACATGTACGCACATGTGCACCTGTACATACACAGGTGCATTGAAAAAAGTCTCTTGATAAATGCCCTGTAAGTACAATGTGATGTGTTCACTTGAAGAAACACTAAACCATTAAATATGAGTTATCAAGACAACATTGAGCTGATTATGGCAACTCATGCTCATCATCCTGGCACTTGGGATGAAGAGACAGGAGAATTGCCATAAGTTGAAAGCTAGCCTGACCTACAAGAAAATTCTAGATCAGCCAGAGCCACATGATGAAACTTGTCTAAGCGAGCCCCAAACCAAAACACAGTGATATAGAAACTGCGAGTGGCTACACAGTAAGGAACAAAGTGGGAAGCAAGAATCTCTGCGTGCTATAATTGCAACTAAGTGTAACTTCACATGGGCCAGGCAGACGCTGTGGACACTGAGCCAGTATTTGCCGTTACTGCCTTTCTCCTTTAGTCAAGAAATGTTGATTTTTCTCGGCCTCCCTCACAGTTTTGGGAAGTTCATGTTACTCCTGAAATGTAACTTACAGTTCTGGGTGGAGAAATGAGGGAAGTACTTTGCTTTCCTGACAAAAGGGGTTATCATAGCTTCATTCGTTGCCTCCTCCTATCTCTCTACCCCCACCCTGAATTCCAGCAAGATGCCCAGCGCTTTAGTAGCTGTTGTGACCATGAGGTTGAAGCATGTCCAAAGACAATCTATCTGGGCTGGTAGAGCAACAATATCGGCATAGACTCTGTGTTCCTGACATAGTCAAGTGGCTCCCCAACTCACCAATGAGGAAAATAAGTCCCCATTTACTTAAAGCGCTGTGATTATCTGTAACTGAGAACGTTCATAACCGATACACAGACAAAAGGGTGGTGCCAAGATTTAGAGCCAGGCATACTGTGATTTAATTTCCCCTACTCTTGCATTGTGTGATTCTAGGCAAGCCCTTTCCATCCGTGCATTGACACTTAGGATAAACTTTTCTTTTTTACATTTATTTTTATCATTTATTTGTATGCATGTGTCTCTAAGTGTGTAAGTGAATGCCACATGTGTGCAGGT